TTCTTTACTATTCCTTCTACAAAGAGGTGAGATTTCATTCTTTTCCCTGAGTGTAAACACTGTGACTCCTTGACACTATGACTGAATGATGCTGTGCCCTTTTCCTAGCTCAAATCTTAGGAAAATAGTAGTTTCCTTTTCCTGTCTCTTGAAATGCTCAGTCCAATATGCTGGGAGGAACCAAGTAGACCATAGGAGGTCTTATGTGGTTGTTCTGGCTGACGACCCCAATGATCCAGCTACCTGCCAGCATCAATTGCCAGACCTGTTAAGTATGTGAGTTTTCAAAAGACTGCAGCCCCAGGTGTAGTCATCCCAGTCTTTGAGCCACTCCTGCTGACACTGTGGAAGAGAGACAAACTGTGCTTGGAGAGCTCTGAGCACATTTCTGATCTATAAGCAAAATTATTATTACTGTTACCCTAAAATACCAAGTTCAGAGTGAATTTTATGTGGTAAAAGGCACCTGGAACAAATATAATGCCATTAAGTCTGTGATAGAGATGACCAGTAATCAAGATTTAACAAATATTTATTACATGACTACTGGTCAGACACTGGGACAGGGAAGGCTTTTGAAAAATGAAATGTGAGTGTAGGTTTAGAGAAGGTATAGAATCAGAACAGGAAAGGCAGAAAGACATGCTTGCTTGAAGCCATTGAAAATATGGGGACATCATAAAATCTGATGGAGGTATAGTTAGAAACCCTTCGCTTCCTCACACAACCAAAAGGCAGATAACAACCAATCTAAAATCAATGAAAAACCACAAGTGCCAGTAAATCAAACTGCATGGAACTCCTACAACCACAGAATTAAAGAAACAGTCAAACAGAACAACCAGACCTGTAAGGTGGTGGATAGAGAGAAATCACAATGAGGTGGAGGACTGTGGGGGCAGTGCTGGCTGTGGAGAGGTGGCAGGCTGCACAGGAGGGGCTGACTTAAGGGGAAACTGAGAGCCAGAGCTGGCTGTGGACTATAGTGGTTGGCACAGTGGGAGACACTTCCAGTCTCAAAGGAGAGTTCGCTGGAAAGTGTGCTAGAGTTGAGCAGGGAGCCACATTGTTCCCTATCTTGTGCCTTCCCCACAGGAAGTGACACAGCACAGCAAGGAGGGTTGCCCTGCCCGAGTGAATACCTCTTACAACTTAGCAGGCACCCCCAAAAAGAAATAGGGCCCAAATAAAACAACAGAGCAAAACCTCAGAAAGAGAGCTAAGCAATGAGGAGATAGCTAACCTATCTGATGGAGAATTTAAAGCCCTGGTAACCAAAATGCTCACAGAACTGATTGAGCTTGGTTGAAAAATGAAAAGACAAATGAAAGATACCCAAAATGAAATAAAACAAAATATTCAGGGAGCAACAGTGACAGGAAGGAAACCAGGACTCAAAGCAACGATTTGGAACAAAAGGAAAAAAAATAAACATCCAACAGGAACAGAATGAAGAAACAAGAATCTGAAAAAATGAAGAGACTTACAAACCTCTGGGACAACCTGAAACTTTCCAATACCCGAATTATAGGGGTGCCAGATGGAGAAGAACAACAGCAAGAAATTGAAAACTTATTTGAACAAATAAAGAAGGAAAACTTCCCCAATCTGATGAAGGAAATAGATGTCCAGGAAGTCCAGGAAGCCCAGAGAGCCCCAAAGAAGTTGGACCCAAAGAGGAACACACCAAGGCACATCATAATTACATTACCCAAGACTAAAAATAAAGAGAGAATCTTAAAAGCAGCAAGTGGAAAGGGAAGAGTTACCTACCAAGGAGTGCCAATAAGGCTATCAGCTGATTTCTCAAAAGAAATCTTGCAGGCAAGAAGGGGCTGGAAAGAAGTATTTGAAATCCTGAAAGGCAAGGGCCTACATCCAAGAATACTCTATCCAGCAAAGCTATCATTTAGAATGGAAGGGCAGATAAAGTGCTTCCCAGATAAGGTCAAGTTAAAGGAGTTCACATCACCAAGCCCTTATTATATGAAATATTAAAGGGACTTATCTAAGAAAAGGAAGATCAAAACTATGAACTGTAAAATGACAACAAACTCACAACTATCAACAAATGAATCTAAAATAATAAAAGAAAGAAAAACAATGAAACAAAAATTAAGCAAACAACTAGAACAGGAACAGAATTAGAGAAATGGACATCACATTGAGGGTTTTCAGTGGGGAAGAGGAGGGGAGGAATGGGGTGGGGAAGGTAGAGGGAAGAAGCAGCACAGTTGGTGGGCATTATATATTCAGGGAGAGGTCAAAAATGGCATAGGAAACAGAACTCAAAGAACTTGTATGTACAATCCTTGGAAATTAACTAAAGGGGGATGCTGGAGGGTTGAGGGGTGCTGGGTGGAGGGAGGATAAAGGGGGAAAATTGGGAAAACTGTAATAGCATAATCAATAAAATATAATTAAAAATATGGGGACATCAGAAAAACTCAAGTATGGAGAAAGATTGTGAGGAGATGAGGTACTCAGGGGCCAGTTCAGTAAGGATATAATACTAAAGAATTAGAATTTAATCTTGAAGGCAGGAGACTAATTTGCATACTTTTAAGCATGCAGTTAATTTAATTATTTATTTAATGGATGTATTTCCCATAGTCAATACTCCAAAGAAGCTTATCTTGCATAGAGCTTTTATTCCCTGTTATGTTTCCAGCACCTAGAGTGGTGGTACCTGGTGCACTTAAACAATTTATAAATATGTATTGATGACTGATTGACTGACTGATTGACTGACTGAAGAACCATGTGAAAATTTCATAGGAATGACATGATCAGATTTATGTGCTAGAAAAATAATTCCAGCAGTGGTTTGGAGAATGGCTGGGAGATAGGTAGGTGGATCACTCAGTTTGGCTGCCATAAAATATGATAATAGACTGTGTGGCTTAAATAACAGAAATTTCTTTCTTTTATAGTTATAGAGGCTGCATCCCAGATCAGGGTGCCTGCATGGTTAGGTCCTGGTGATCACTCGTCCTGGCTTGCAGGCATAGCTGGCTTCTCACTGTGTGCTCACATGGCAGAGAGAAAGAGAGAGAGAGAGAGAGAATATTTGGAAAACATAAAGTGCATAAAGAACTAAAACCTTTCTCCAATCTTACTACTGAGAGAGGATCATGTCATATTCTCATGTATTTCATCTCATACTTTAAAAATCTGGGTCATTTTGTAATTCTGCATTTTTTTTCTTATCACCTTTGAAAAATTTATGTATTTAGATCTTTTTATGTAAATATAAATATATATTATTACCTTTAATAGCCATGGAGTTTTTACATTGTGTGTACTGTAATTTACTTGACCAATACTATTATAACTATTGCTTATACTTATTTATTGCTTACTATATGATAGGCACCTGAGGTTTTCACTTGTATTAATACATTTGATCTTCACAACACTGTTGTTTCTTCTGTTTCTCCCAGAAGAGGAAACTGGGACACCATGAAATCAAGTAATTTGTTCAATCTCTTAAATGTTGGACATTTTAGTGATTAACAATGCTTTGATAATTTAAGCAATGTTGCTGTGAATTACCTCTCTTCATGTTCTTAAGGAATGTCTTTAGGATAAAGTCCAAAAAAGTACACGTCCTGGGTCTAAAGGTGTTCACATTTTTAAAAGCTTTTGTTACATACTTCCAAATATTTATTTTAGGAAGAATATAGTAATTTACATTTAATTCAACAGTGTGATTGTATGATTCCCCACATTCCTGATTCCTAACATTCTTTGTGACACAAATGTATCCATATGCTATTTTAATGCATTTTTACTTTTAGAAATGGAACTTCAATCCTAATGGACTTTTGTAAGCACACTTTGTATACCACTAATATTATTATTATTTTTAAATATTTTATTTATTTATTTTTAGAGGGGGAAGGGAGGGAGAGAGAGGGAGAGAGAAAAACATCAATGTGCGGTTGCTGGGGGCCTTGGCGTGGAACCCAGGCATGTGCCCTGACTGGGAATCCAACCGGCGATGTTTTGGTTCGCAGCCCGTGCTCAATCCACTGAGCTACGCCAGCCAGGGCACCACTAATATTATTAATACTGTTGTCGATACTTTGGAAATAATTATTTGCATTCTACTTTTGGAAGTACTGGTTTTGGCCATAATTTACCTAACTTCTATTCACATGCAAGATGGGTCCAAGTGGGTCGCAAAATCCAAGATGCTCCATAAAATTTCTATGTGACAGAGTTTTTGTTTGTTAAATAAACATAAGTAAAATTACGAAATAAACATTTTAAGTGATTAGAAATCACTAATCAATTTCTAGCTCCATTTTTCAGGGTTTTTTTGTTGTTGTTGTTGTTTACTTTAGTGGGTATTTCTTGGGTTGTGAAACTTACTTTCCAACCAACACAACTGCTCAGTGACTGCACAGTTAGTCACTACTAACCAACGCCCAAGTAGCAAAGCTTTCCAGATTCTGAAGCCGGGCGTTCGGACTCTCCATTCCAGCTCGCTCCAAGGGAGCGCGCGCCCTGACACTCCCCTCCTCCGGGATTCGAGCCAATCGGTTCAATTCACATGACTTCATCTAAGCAAGTTTCTTGTCACCTTAGACAGCAAATTACTCATAGCCTTTTTTTACCTAGATAACTCCAAATGAAGGATGTCCTATCCCCCTCCACCGGGACTACAAATGTATGGCAACCAACAGAAAGAGGGGAAAAAGGGGTCCCACTCAACAACAAACGCGACCCTTTCTCTTAGTCGTCTGATTCACTGTTGGGATTGGTAGTCGGCTTCGGCGCGCCTTCAGGTCCCGTCCTCCGGAGACTGCCGGCCAAGGCAAAAGCAGAAAACACGGGCATTACGGCTACTCTCCTGTGTGACTAACCAAATAAGGAGTATGGAGGAGGGGGCTTTTTGGTTGGGCCTGTTTTGGTGGGGCAGGTTTTTGGCACATTCTGGTCAGGCAGCGCTGAGGTCGCACAGATTCCCGATAGGCTCCACGCAGGGGGCCTTCTCGGCTCCCTAGCTGTGGCTGCCGCCGCTGCCGCGGTTGCTGGGGTTTGGTGAGGCGAGAACCTGTCGTGGACCTTGTCGAGTACTTATCTGTTGTCGTTTTTGCCTGAGGAGTCATCCTTCCTCCGTCGCACCCTGACTCCTGTGGTGTCGACGGGGAGTCCCTGCAGACACCTCAAGACGCCGTGGAGATGCCTCTCTTTGCCACCAATCCTTTCGATCAGGATGTTGGTAAGTGCTTCAGCCGTTCCCTGTGCACCCGCCCCCGAACTGCAAGTCCGCTCCGCCGTCTCTCTGCGTACCTTCTGGACTGCCGGGCCTGGGACAAGCTGTTTCCTTTTATTGAGGCTCCAACCTTAAGAGTCCGGAGTTGGTTGCGGGCTTCGAGCATCCTCTTTGAAAGAAATGGGACTCAGACTGCGAAGTGGGCTTTGAGCTGGAACCGTGGGTTAGGGAGGAACTGCCTCAAGGGTTGCTGTAGGGAGCTTCAGAGGAACAGCTGGTGTAGCATCTGGTGCTGGGACAATGCTTCTGGAAAAGCGGAGCCGAGGGCTGACTAGCATCTCGACTGGGGTAGGATTGTAAGCCTTATGATAAAATGTTTCCCTGGACAGATTTTAAACATCTGGAACTAGGAGAATGTTTTAGGTTAGGTTCCTTACAGGATTTTAAAATGTACTTTGTACCTAACGGGAGGAGAGAGCTTCTGTTTAAGGGTAGACTCTTAAAAACGTCGGGAGAGCTGAAAATGGAATACTTGGCAACCGCTGAGACGGAATAGAAGACCTGAGCCACTGGGCTTGCCTGTCTTAGAGTAGGTCCCTGTACTTTAAGAAGCGTGGACGAGGACCTTGAATCTGAAAATGCTGATTTGTTTTGAATTTGAAATGCTTTTTTCTTTTTCTCTGAATCATTGGTACTAGGTATTGATCAGACTAATTCAACAGGTTAGATTTTTATCTTTTTCTGGTTTAAGGGTAACAACTACCAGGACTTTGAGTTTCCGGAAAGAGAATTGAGGGTTGATTTGAATGCAGTTAAGGAACTACCTTGGCCCACAGGTGTGGAATGAAAAGCAAACCAAATACCATGTCCAAATTCCTTAAGGCAGAATTTACCAATTACTGTAGTAAAGAAATATAAGGACAGCTTTAGAGTTGTGCATATGTATATAATTATTATTTTTGGCTTGTGTATTTTAATTGTGAATGGTAGCTGTCAGATATTGCTTTTTTAAAAGATTTTATTTATTTTTAGACAGAAGGAAAGAGAGGGAGAAAGAGAGAAACATCTGTGTGTGGTTGCCTCCCACACGTCCCCCACCTGGGACTGGCCCGCATCCCAGGCATGTGCCCCAACTGGGAATCGAACAGTAGACTCTTTGGTTCGCAGGCCGGCACTCAATCCACTGAGCCACACCAGCCAGGGCCTAAAACAATTTTTTAATACCTGCTTCTTTGGTCCCAGTACCTTGATCCAGTTTTTATATAATCTGGCTTCCAACTACCCAGTCACTTTTGTATTCTGCTGACTTTTACAATGCATATTTCCATTGAGTTCAAATAAATTTCTTAATGTCAAACCCTTTCTCAGTACCTACAACATTCAGTTCAAAGCAGGCTCCTTCTTGCCTTTATATGTTTGCTCCTGTTATTTCTTCTACCTTTTTACATATCCTCATGATTAAAGGCCAACTCAGAATCCAACTCACTATGCCTGAATTATTTCCTGATTACTGTAGCCTAGAGTTACTCAGTAGCAACACTCTTGATGGTATGGACCAAATAAATGTCTTTGTTGGGGGGGGGGGGGAGGGTAGTCTGAGCTGTCCAATGGAAGGTATTTAGCAGCATCCCTGACATACACCTACTAGATGCCAGTGGCATCCCCCACCCCCAGTCATAATTTAAAAGGTTTCCAAAAACTTATTAAATGTCCCCTAGGCCTTTAGAATAGTTCTCAGTTGAAAACCATTGCTCTAGATCACCATAATCTCCACTCTTTTCAAAACTGGAACATGTTTTGTCATTAACAAATTATGTAGCACTAAAGGTAGTTATATCCTGTGTTATGTTCCTCAATTATTTTATTGGTTGCTACATAACAGGTGCTTAATAAATATTTGTTGAATTGAGAATGTGTCACTTGAGCCTGCTAGATAGTGTCTTGAGTGTAGGAACATTGTTTTGCTCCAAAAAAGCTTACTTTTTAAAGTTAGTCAGGTTTGGGTACTTGAATCAATTCTCTCTTCAAGACCCATATATCAAAATATCATGAATGGTTATCTAAGAAAACCTGTGAGAGACTCCCAGTAAATAATCCTTGGAAAAAGTCCAGTAGACTACCATGTTAAATTTTTTTACTAGGAGACCATGTAGAATATAGTACATAGAATACATTATCACTATTCCTTCCTTCTTTGTCCATCAGTGAGTATTTCAGTGATATTGAAGAGCTCCCACTAAATCACCTAAATCACTTGATACAATTATTTGCCATTATTTACCATTTAACATTAGTACACATTTGTACTTTTTCAAAATTATCTTCCACTTTATTCATAAGCTGAAATGGTTAATCAGAAATTCATGAACTGATTTATGTAATACAACATTTCAAATAAAGAATCAAGATACTGGCAGTAGTTTTTCCATTGAAGAAATGACCAAACATGTGACTACACTGTGAGCTCCACGAGGACAGGGTTTTTTGGTTTGGTTTGTTCAGTATGATATTCCCAGATGTAGTGTGTCTGACACTAATAAACTTTCAGTAAGCATTTATTGAATAAATGAATCTTGTCTTGGATGTCACATTTCTTGCCAAATTTCAACTCTTGAATTATAAAACAACTCATCCTCTGAAGCTTTTATTTTAAAATCCCTAGCGATGTCCATCTTGCCAAATCCAGTGGTCAATTTCTAGTCTATTTCTTTGTTGCTCTGTTAGCATTCCTCTTTGATGTACATTATTCACTTGTTTTCCAGGGCACTGAACTTTTTCAATTTTCTGCTTAAGCCCTTTTTTAGTTTTTTTTGGCCTCTCCTTTTTGTGCTTTCCAATTGTTGGACTGAGCCTGGAGCTTAGACTTAGAACTTATTCAAAATTTTTTTCCCTTAGAGTCTTAGGAGACAATTTAGCTTAGCTTTAATAATTCATTTTTTAAAAAATTAAATTTATTAGGGTGATATTTGGTTAATAGGATTATGTAGGTATCAAGTATAAATTGTCTATGGTACATGATCAGTATATTGCATTGTGTGCCCACCACCCAAAGTCAGATCATCTCCTGTCACCATATATTTGGCTCCCTTTACCCTTTACTACCCTCCCATCCCCACCCTCTTTTCCTCTGGTAATTGTATACTGTTGTTGTCTGTGTCTGTGAATTTCAGTTTTATATCCCACACATGTAAATGAAATCATATGGTTCTTAGCTTTTTTCTGACTGACTTATTTAGCTTAGCATAATATTCTCAAGGTGGGCCCATGTTGCAAATGCCAGTATTTCATCTTTTCTTATGGCTGAATAGTAGTCCATTTTATATATGTACCACATCTTCTTTATCCAATCATCTAGTAAAGGACTCTTTTGTTGTTTCCACGTCTTGGTCACTATGAATAGTGCTGCAGTGAACACACAGATATAAATATCTTTGTGAATAAATGTTTTCAAGTTTTTCAGGTAGATACTCAGAAGAGAGATTGTGGGTCGTATGATAATTCTGTTCTTAATTTTTTGAGGAGCCTTCATACTGTTTTCCATAGCGGCTGTACCAGTTTACATTCCCACCAGCAGTGTATGAGAGTTCCTTTTTCTCCACATCTTCAACAACACTTGTTGCTTGTCTTGTTGATAATAGCCATTTTAACAGGTATAAGGTGGTATGTCATTATAGTTTTAATTTGCATTTCCCTAATAGCTAGTTAAGTTGAGCATCTTTTCATATATCTGTTGCCCATTTGTATACATTTTTGGGAGAAGTGTCTCTTCAGGTCCCCTGCTTATTTTTAAATTATATTATTTGAGCTTTTTTGGTGTTGAGTTGTATGAGTTTTTAAAATATATTTTGGTTATTGAACCCTTGTTTGATAGCTGTTGTTTGCAAATATCATCCCCCATTCGGTTGGCTGCATTTTTTGTGTTGGTGCTAGTTTCTTTTGCTGTGTAGAAGCTTTTGAGTTTGGTATAGTCTCTTTCATTTATTTTTGCCTTTACTTCCCTTGCCTTTGGGATCAAGTTCATAAACTCTTTTCTAAGATCGAGGTCCATGAGTTTAGTAACTATGTTTTCTTCTATATAATTTATTGTTTCAGATGTTATATTTAGGTCTTTGGTCTATTTTGAATTAATTCATGTGGACAAACTATAGTTTCATTCTTTTGCTGTTGGCTCCCTTGTGAAAAATTATTTGCTCATATACATGTGGGTTTATTTCTGGTCTCTCAATTTTGTTCCATTGATCTGTGTGTCTGTTCTCCTGCAATACTATGCTGTTTTGATTATCATAGCTCTGTCATATAATTTGAAGTTAAGGAGTGTGGTACTTCTGGCTTCATTCGTTTTCCTCAGGATTGCTTTGGCTATTCGGGGTCTTTTGTGGTTCCACACCAATGTGATAATTTTTTTTGTTGTATTTCTTTAAAAAATGACATTAGGAGTTTGGTAGGTATGACATTACATCTGTATATTGCTGTAGGTAATGTGAGCATTTTAACTATGTTGATTCTTCCAATCCATGAATGTGGAATATCTTTCCGTTTTATTATCTCATAGTTTTCATTATATAGGTCCTTCACATCCTTTGTTAAGTTTGTTCCTGGGTATTTTACTCTTTGTTGCAATTGCAAAAAATTTTTTTTCATTTCTTTTTCTGAAATTTCACTTGTTAATATTTAGGAATGCAGTGGATTTTTGTACCTAGATTTTGTATCCTGCAACTTTACTGTATTTGTTTATTGTTTCTAATAGTTTTTTTGGTGGAGTCTTTAGAGTTTTCTGTATATAAAATTATGCCATCTGCAAAAACATGACACTTCTTCATTCCCAGTTTGGATACATTTTATTTTTTTCTCTTGTCTGATTGCTCTGGCTAGGACTTCCAAAGCTATGTTGAGTAAGAGTGGTGAAAGTGGACATTTTTGTTTCATTTCTGATTTTAGAGGAAAAGCTTCAGTTTTTTTACCCCTGAGTATGATATTAGCTGAGGGTTTGTCATATATGGCCTTTA